CTAAAAGTGAGATGATGTTTCTCCAAATTGAAGTGACATTCAACTTTGTTGATAAAAAGAAGACAGGGACAGAAAAAGGCATGTCATAAAACAAGTTTTCAAGGAGCCGTCAGAACATTCGGGTTTTGAAATATGTTATTATTGACCTTACAGGAGAATCATGAGGAAGATCTCCATGGAGCCACCTGAGCGGCTGGCCAGCCTCCAGGCTCTGTGGGACAGCCAGACCGTGAGCGAGCAGGGCCCTTGCGGTGAGCATGCATCTTAAACCCCAATGTAAATGGCTGACTGGATGTCCCCTGCCAGGAAGTTAAAGCTATTCCTAGTATGCAACTGGAGAGGTACAATTACTTTCGAGGTGTAATTAGTACTGCACAGACTTTGGATTGGTGGACAAAAGTCCTATATTTAAAGCTGCGTTGCATCCTGCTCTCCTGTTAGCACAGTCCAGGGGAGAAAGAATCTTTTGCTGTTTGCCCAAATGGAAAGGAGAATCAGCATTGTCAACACCGGCCCTTTTTAAGCTGTGAAATCTTAAAGAAAAATCATTTGACAGAAAATTCGGTGCTTTTTCTGTTGTCTGCTTCAGGTGGGTTTTCTCAGATGTATGCCTGCGTTTGTGACTGGCTTGGATTTTCGTACAGGGAAGAAGTACAATGGGTAAGTGTTTCTGTTTACTAACACACACAACCCTGGAGTATTTGACTATCAATGTTTGTTTTTCTGTTCTTCCATCATCTCTCTCTCTCTCATTTTCATTTTTTTAAGTTAGCATTGTCCTTTTTTCAGATGACATAAAAACCTGCCTGTCAATGTCGTAAATCTCTTAGCATCTCTTAGTTCCTTGGCTGTCTCCTTGGGCGGCTTTCTGACTGAATTATGTTCCAAATAGGATGTGGATACCATTTATCTGACTCAAGACACCAGGGAGTTGAACTTACAAGACTTTAGTCATCTGGACCACAGGTAAGCCGGGCCTTCTTTTCTGCTACTCCTGCTTTTGTTTCAGAGCTGCACTTTTTGCTGGTACTCCGGAGCCACCTCGAAGCAGAGGGACGCCAGGAAAATCAAAGCATCTTTGGATTTTGTCTCTCGAGTGATTGCGTATTGTGTACGTGCCCATGCATTGCAGCGTTGATGCGTGCACATTTCTTATATCCAGTGTATCGTTACCCCCAAATATGCTGAATTTCACTGTGGAAGCAATATAATTCTTGGGTTCTTTAAGCAATCCATGGGAGTCTGTGTAATTTAGCCTGTATGTAAAACTTAGTACTATTTTGCCTAATTACTAGTTAGAATCTCTATCTTTCTCTCTCTCTCTCTCACACACACACACACACACACACCCTTGCATGTGTGAGGATGCTGGGTATTGAAACCTTAGCAAATGGCTTTTTGTTCTCAATTTCTTTGTGGAGTTGAGGATTGCTAGGGTGTGCAGGCATAGATTGGTGGACATTGGTTTGCCAACAACATGTCTTTTGATAGCGATAATAAAGCTTGTTTTCAGTTCTTTGCAAGAGGCTCGGGTCCTTAGATTGTCATTTAATACGTTTAGAGCTGAGGATAGTGTGATTAGAGCCCCAAGGAAAGCTCCTTTCAGCTCCCCTCTCCTCCCAGCAAGGACAGACCTGTCACATTTATTTAGTTCTCTAATGGACTTGACTCCTGGTTCCCATCCAAATCCTCTGCTCCAGTAATTTATCCTGGCCTCTCATCATCTCCTCAACCCTGGATGTGCTGCTACTTATCATAGGTGGTCAGAAATCAGCCCTGCACCCTGCAGTCAAGGAGCCCTGGTGGCGCAGTGAATTACACGTTGGGCTGCTACCTGCAGGGTCAGCAGTATGAGCCCACCAGCTGCTCCTGGAGAGAAAGAGGAGACGTCTGCTCCCTCACAGAGTTACAGCAATGGAAACCCACAGGGTGCAGTTCTACTCTGCCCTAAGGGTTGCCACGAGTCAGACTCGACTAGATGGAACCGAGTGAGTTTGGTACAGTTTGTTTACCCTGCAATGATCCCGGTCTCCCTGTTTGGAACCAAGAGGCAGAAATCTTGAGATTCCAGCTGTACCTTCAGCCATTTGGACAATCAGAAACACCCCCCACCCCAAATCACTATTTCTAATTACTTTCCCACATACCTGGTGGGAAATCCAGAATTGTAGTGAGGTCCTCGAAGAGTTGTAGCCAAGTGAATTGGGCAGAGAAGTAAAGGTAAGGTGGAGCTGTGTCCTCTCTCTGTGCTGGCTGACTCAGCCGGGTCTGGCTTGGTGGCAGATGAGCCTCAAGCCTCTGGTTTTCACAAGCCCTTCTCCCAGTGACTTGTGTGTGAGGAAACTTCCTGCTCCAATGTCCAGGCAAGCTGTTTCCTGTGCAGCTCGTGAAAAGTGAACGAAGAAACAGAAAGGGAAATGGTTCACTTTGTAAGTATGTTCTAATTTGAAGAGTAAAAAAGACAGAGGATCCTGAAGATTAATCTAAACTAAGTAAGGCTACAGCATCCATCATCAACATGTTTGCTGTCCAGACCATGTTTGCCTCCTAAAGAGTGAATCATTCTCGACCTGTGGGTCAAGACCCCTTCGGGGGTCGAATGACCCTTTCACAGGGGTTGCGCAATTCACAACAGTTGCAAAATTACAGTTATGAAGTAGCAGTGAAAATAATTTTACGGTGTGTGTGTGGGGGTTCCCCACCACATGAGGAACTGTATTAAAGGGCTATGGTGTTTGGAAGGCTGAGAACCACTGGAATAGACTGAGCTTTGTTTCCATGCGTCCTGTCGATATTTACCGGTTGGGAATTAGACGGAAATTGTCAAATAACTACCGTTTTATTGGTGTAAAGACATGGGTAGCACAGCATCTCCCAGCTCAACTGTTTTCCCTTGCACAATTCAGAGAACCGACACATCCGTGATGTAATGCTGCCATCGCCAACATCCCTGGCTGTATTTTCCAACCCCATAGACAGAAACTCAGTGCGAATCGTCAAAGCTATTCCGCTTGCCCTCCTGCCCCACTCCCAACCCCAGAAAACCAAAACCAAAACCCAAAGTCACCGCCACTGAGTCGATTCCTATAGAACAGCATAGAGCCATCCTTGTGGGTTTCCAAGACTGTAAATCGAAGAGCAGAGAGCCTTGTCTCTCTGCTCTTGATAACTGCTGTTAAACTCTGATCACTTTACATCTGCAGTCGGAATATGTCTAAATAATTCCTGATCGATCACATGATAGTATTCGCCTTTTGCAGTTGATTTCTTTCAACTCAGATCATGTTTTTAAGGTTCATCCATGTTGTGGTTTGGATCAGGTATTTTTCTCTTCATTTAAAAATAACAATACTAAACCCATCTATGCTAACATAAATAACATCTTTATGTCAAAAGAAATCCCTCTATTTCATAATTCAGAAAGAAAAGAGAGTGCCAGCCATTTAGCTTTTAGCCACTTTTTACTATTTCTCGTTTAATAGACCACAGCTGGTTTCTCATGTCTGCTTCCGCTTTCAGTATGCTGTGTGTGGGATGTTGCTTTGCTCAAAGTACGATGTGAGGAAAATCCTACCTTGTGCAGCGGTCTCATCGGAAAAAGGAGAAGTGTTCATTGTCTTTTCACTCAATGGGTATTCTTTCTGAAGATCCATCACAACTCTCACATGGTTTCTTAAAAACTAGTTGCAATGTTGCATCTAAGACCAAATGGACGCCCTGGTCTATGTTTTGTTCCATTAACACCCATTGGTGTGCTTTGTACTTTGAGTAGACCTTACGCAGATCTACCTGATTCAGTCGCCATGTACAGTAGTCACTTGGAAAATAATAGGTCACTGTATTATACAGGGTTTCCCAAGGTTTCACTGTTGGTTTATAACAGCGGTGTCAAACTGTTGGTCACGGGCCGCATGTGGCCCCTAAAGTAATTTTTTGTAGCCTGAGATGCTCTGAAATAAACTGAAAATAGAAAAATTGTTATGAAGAAAATAGCGCTTAGGGGAGATAGAGGCAAGGCGGTTCACACAGTTCCCTCATTAGCCCTTTAACTACTGAAGACGAGTATACATGTGGCCCAGTGCCTTTCCTGGGGGCTTGTGGATGTGTATATACGCGCTGACTCAGTTCCGCCGACGTTTGGAAGCAATTTGTCTACCACTCAGTGTCACGTCATATAAACAGATCCCAATAGCGAAAAGGTTAAAAAGAGCACTTTGGGTTGTGTTGTTATGAATCATACCTAGCGGCAGCACTTGTTAACATTTTTAGAGGGAAGCCATTACGCTTGTGCATGACCTTTGTCAGCTGTCCAACATTTTGTGTTTTTTATTCGTTACTTTGTTATATTTTCCGGTCACAACATAAGAGGAAAGTGAAAACTAGTAGGAGGAAAGCGCTGGCCAGTTTCAGTTAAAAAAGAATAATTTTAGTTTTGTAAATACGCTAAATAAAATAAATCTTTAAATAAGAGCAATTATATAGTGTTTTAATTATCCTATCTGTATTCCTGAATCCTCGTTTTAATTGAGTTTGACACCCCTGGTTTATAACATTAGTAGCGACGGAGACAGAGAGAGAGCCAAACTGTTGCCACTGGCCTTATCAGAAAAATGGAAAAACTGCAAACTCAAAGTGGATCCAAGTTTTTAAAAGATCTCAATTTGGACTTCAAAGTTCTCGTTTTACCATTAGGAACAGGTACTGGCCGTTGATGTCCCTGAAGTAACGGGCTTTCTTCTTAACATCTTAGAGAAAAGCTCTGCCAAGGCCCAGATCGGAATAACTGCAGCCGGTCTGGCATGCACGTTTCCATGGCGCTCCGTGAACAAAGCCGAGAGCTTGCAGCTCTAGCCATTGCGCGGATGTGTCCCATCCAGACAATTATTGCTTGGGTGTACAAGCAGAAACCTTTTCTGTGTACTTCACAGTCTGTGATTCTTAATAACTGTAATCAAAGCCCAAAGCGACAAACCCAATGACGTGGGGTTGATGTTGAACTTCTGAGATTGTACATCTTCCTGAGAGTGAACACCCTCATCTTTTTTCTGCAGAGTGGCTGTTGGCTTTGAACCACTGACTTTGTGGTGAGTGGCCTATTATCTAGGCCACAGCACTATCAATCAACAGAGCCTATATTTTGAGAAAAGGGTGGAAAAGGTCAACGTGTGGGGGAGGTGGTTGCAAAGGAGCCCAGAATGAAGTTGGAGCCTGGCACACCTGGTCTGCCAAGCGGTAGCGGGGCACTGGGCGCCAGGTGTGAAGGAAGACAGGCTGCTCAGGATGGGAGGGGGAGGAGAAAGGCATGAAAAGAGGAAGCAATCTGACTGAAGTGCTGATTGCACAACTTTCTAATAAGTTTAAATCATAGAATTGTACGCTAGGTCAATTGTACGCTAGGTTAATGATGCAGTAAAGCGGCGTCACTGAGCCCGCACCACAACCACAGCCACAGCCATGGAGCCCATTCCTAAGCATAGCTGCCCATAGAGGATTTTGGAGACCGAGTCTTTTTAAAAAATTTTTTTAAAGATCTTTTTAAAATTTTATTTTATTAAAAGATCATTTTATTGGGGGCTCTTATAAAAATCCATATATCAATTGTATCAAGCGTATGTGTACGTGTGTTGCCATCATCATTTTCTAAACATTTACTTTCTATTTGAGCCCTTGGTATTAGCTTCCCCCACCTTACACTCTTGTGACCCCTTGATAAACTATAAATTATTATTGTTTTCATTCTTATACCAACCGCTGTCTCCCTCAGCCACCTGGGGGTGGGGTGTGTGTGTGTGTGTGTTATGCATCGATCATTGCGATCAGTTTCCCCTTCCTCCCCGCCTGCCTCACCTTTCCTCTATTCCCATTTCTGTTCCTAAGGGGCTTATCTAGGACTTCGTGTGTTGTAAGCTCTTATCTGTACCAGTGTGCGTGCTTTAGTCTAGCCAGAACTGAAAGGCAGGACTGGG